TCATGTACAAGTGTTTTGTAATTTATAAGGAAACAAATACATATACTTAATGGCTTGCTTAACATTCAAATGATATCAGAATAATCAGTAACACTTAATAACTTGACTCTCTCCTTTGTATTGTTTTTTTCTTTGCCCTAAAAATAAATGCTAAAAACTTGTTCATCTGAATGACTAAATTGTACTCAACTTTTATGCATGTGGATTGAAATTCAATTGTTTTATTTATTGTCTACTTATAGTTTTTTGTCAGTATTGCCAAACTAACAGATTGTTGTAGACACATGTAAATCTCAATTCAATGCTGTATAAATACTAAAAATCATGGGTAGAACAAAAATTATCCTTATAATCTAATCATTAGGGAGAGAAAGGAAAAACAAGACAAAGACTTGATACTTATACCATTAATTTCTGTGGCCTTTACATTAAAGCTAAGTTATTGGTACATTTAACTGTATCGTTAAGGGTAGCTAGGGTTCAGAGGGCATGTCATGATGTTTGTAGACTTATGTTCAAAATTTTATTCAATTACTGTTGTATAAATTGTATATTTTAATTCAAATTTTAATATTATACATTAGTTAATTTCATAATTTGAAAGTAAATGTAAAAAAAATGGCTAAATATTGATTTTCATGTGCCACACTAGTATATCATCTTATGGGTTTGATCAGATTAAATTTTATGATGACCACGATACAATGTCTATAGTTTCATATGAATTATAAACTCAAATTTCTTAAAGAAAATGGCCATAACTGAATTTTCTCAGGGATACTCCCTAGAATTTACTGTGGGGATGAAGTTATAAATAGGTCATTAGAGCTAAATGTTAGGCTTAGGTTAGTATGTAAGGATGAGCAGATTGGCCGGTTAGACTTGTGGGATCAGTTCAGTGGGAGAAGGGAGTTTTTTGCAATGGATGGTTTACATTCAAATAGAGTAGGGACTGGCTTGTTTGCTAAGGCTACTAAATCAGCTGTAAGGGAAGTTTTAAACTAGGACTAGACAGTGATGAGGGCCAGGATAAACTAAATACAAAAAGAATATGAGGCAGAGAAAAGTTTAGCATAGAAAATGAGTATAGATGTAGTTATAAGGATAGGCTTAATTGTTACTATTGTAATGCTAGCAGTATAAGAAATAAAATAGATGACTTTAGAGCACTGGTTGGAATGGAGGATTTTGATATAATGGGAATAACTGAAAATTAGTTAAATGTAGATGATTTTGATGACAGAATTTATTTTTTGAAATACAGGGTTACAGCTATTTAATAGAGTATTAAAGATGGGAGGAGGAGTGGCTTTATATGTAAAATATGAGTTACATGCTGTTGAAGTTGAGGATATCAAAGATAATAGCAAGGAGATTGAATCCATTTGGGTTTCTATTAGTGGATATAAAGGGAAAAGGCTTTTAGTGGGAAATTGTTACAGACCACCAAATGATACTGATGAAATTAGTGAGAAACTTTACAATGGGATTAAGATTTCAGCTGTCAATGAAGTCATAATTATGGGTGATTTTAATTTCAGACATATAGAATGGGAAATTCTAGAGTCAAACCATGAGGGAGAAAGGTTTCTGGAAACTGTTTAGGATGGCTTTCTTCACCAGTTAGTTAAGAACTCAACTAGAAACAATGCTATTTTAGACTTGTTAATGGTTGAGAGGGTGGAAGTTGGGAAATATCTGGGTGCAAGTGATCATTGCTGTATTAGGTTCAAAATTTTGCTGCATATGGAGATAAGGAATAATGATATTGATATATGAATAATGATAATGATTACAAATTTCCAAAAAGCAAATTTTGAAGGGATGCAACAAGAGTTATCTGTTGTGAAATGGGCAGCTGAGTTATTTGGAGACACTAATAAGATGTGGAAAATTTTTAAATATTCAATGTAAACATATTCCTAATAGAAAGAAAAGGATAACTACAAGTAAAAAACCAGGTTGGCTCACAAAAAGTTTAAGAGATAAAATTAAAGAAAAGCATCATCTATTTTTTAGAAATTTAAATTGACTAGTATGTCATGAGATTTAGAAGATCAAGAAAGTTGGTGAAACAGGAAATTAGGACATCAAAAAGAATGTATGAGAAAAGGTTGGCTGAAAATGTATAAATTAACACTAAGGATTTCTTTAAATACTTTAAGGGGAAACACAATGTTAGGATATGGATAGGACCCTTGAGGGATGATAAAGGAAGGCTAGTATCTGATGATTATGAGATGTCTGAGTTGTTAAATATTTACTTTTTTTTTGGTTTTTACTAATGAAGATTTAAGCAATATTCTACATTTTGATCATTTGTTAAATGGAAACGAGATCAAACAAGATGACTGCATCAATTCTAAGTTGGTTAAGAAAAATTGGATAGTTTAAAAAATGATAAGGCTCTTGTGCTAGATAATATTTCCCTAAGGGATTTGAAGGAAGTTAAAGATTGGATATGTGAGCCACTTGCTGCTATTTTTTGGTCAGTTTTGAATAGTGGGCAGATGCCAGAGGATTGAAAGTTAGCTAATGTAACTCCTCTTTTCAAGGGAGGTGATACAAATTATCCCAGTAACTATAGACCCATTACACTTGCATCAGTTGTGGGAAAAATTTTGGAAAGTCTGTTAAAAGTTGCATTACAATGTCATTTAAGAAAGTTTAAAATTTTATTGGATAGTCAACATGGTTTCACTAACGGAAAACCTTGCCTTACAAATCTTTTAACATTCTTTGAAAAGGTTACTGCTTATTTGACAAGGTGCCACATAAAAGGCTTGTACAAAAAAATTAGCTCTCTAGGTGGGGGTGGGGGGGGGATAAGTTAGCAAATTGGATAGAAGAGTGGATGGAAGAAAGTAGAGGCTTGTTACAAATGAAGTTCAGTTAAACTGGATTAATGTCACAAGTGTGTTACCTCAGGGCTCAGTCTTAGAACCTTTGCTCTTTTTGATTTACATCAATGGCATAGATGAAAGGATAGTGAATAAATTACATAAATTTGCAGATGATATTAAGGCCTTGGGTGTTGCTAGTTGTGAAGAGGATGCTGTTGATTTACAAAAGGATTTAGATCATTTAGTGAGTTGGGCAAATAAATGGCAGACGGGTTTTAATTATAATAAATGCAAGATAATGCATGTGGGTTATCACGATTTGAATTATAAGTATAATTTGGATGGAAATAACCTTAACAGTGTCATAGTTGATCAGTCTCTAAAGCCATCCAAGCAGTGTGCTGTTGCTAGTGGTAGGGCAAATAGGATTTTAGAATGTATCTAGAGAAATATTGAATACAAGTCTAAAGAGGTTATACTTTCATTGGTTAGGCCACATTTGGAATATTGTGTTCAGCCTTGGGCTCCTTACCTTAGGAAGGACATTGAATTGTTGGAAATGGTTCAAAGAAAGGTTACTAGAATAGTGCCTGGGATGGAGGGGTTGTCATACGATGAGAGACTGAAATCTCTCGTATTGTTTTCTCTGCTTGCTATCAATTTAACAAGCATGCTATTGATGTTAACCACACCATATTATCAAAAAGATCATAAACTTATAACTAGATAGAATGTTTTACGAAAAAGGCCAGGATACTTTTTTTGTGATTTGTTACTGAGCTTACAAGTTAGAAACAACTGCTCTGATCCTAATAATATTTGTGACTTGCAATAGAAGTATGCTGAATTATGTATACCTTATCAGAAGTTGTTGACAAAAGTTATCTGCTTTTCCCATGAGAAGACCAAAGCTGTTAATCTATCTCTACCCAAAAATATGATAAACATATTGTCACCTCACAATAATTTCTAATATTAATCTCCACCATATCCACATTTTATCAGGTGAAGGATTCTTCTAATTGCCAAATATAAGCATTGTTAATATTAATTAAAAGAACATATATTTACAATATATTCGTTTATTTTGGACTTTAATGGTCCTTGCTATAGGTAGGAGTAGTCTTCTGGGGGTGGTTTTTGTGTCTTGTACCCTTGAACTGTTGTTTTTATTCTCTGTACTTTTGGACATTATGGTTCCCTCCCCTAGGTAGTAACCTTCTGGGAATGATTTGGGTCTTGTGCTTTTACATTGGTGTAGATGGACGTGTGTCTAGGATTTCACATTACTGCTCATTCTCAGCAATAAGTCAATGGTTTTTCACAACCATTATACAACTATTGACTGAGTATCCTGGACAACTTTCTACTCAGGAAATTATTTTACTATAGTATGTTCTTAGGCAAGTACTAAAGATGCCTTTTCACACCATATTTTTGAATAACCTGATTTATTGTTTGTGCTAGTATTCGGGTGTTTGTGATGTATTCAGAAATCTGCCTCCCCATTAATCCAAGAGATCTGGCCTAATATTGTGGTGAGGGTCGGTAATTTTATCCCCAGTCGTTTAATCTTTGGGATCAGAAATTCACATACACGTATTCTAGCAGAAACAGGAGTGACAGGTACCTCCCTGTTCTATCTTGTTCTACCTCTGGTTCTCAATGTGGGGATTCTGAAGAAATGTTATAGTAAAAGTGCCATATTGTATTTCAGATTAAGATATTGTTAATGAAATAATAATGTATAACCGTTCTTGTATTTTTCCCCACACCATGAGTTTGGTAAGATATCAACGAAGAAGGTGAGACACATTATTACATGTGTAGTATTTTCTTATAGAATGTGTTTGTAGGTAGCAGACAGCTAATGAGAAATTAGGAAGTAAGGAGTGGAATAAAAATGTATAACCGTTCTTGTCTTTTTCCCCACACCATGAGTTTGGTAAGATATCAACGAAGGAGGTGAGACACATTATTACATGTGTAGTATTTTCTTATAGAATGTGTTTGTAGGTAGCAGACAGCTAATGAGAAATTAGGAAGTAAGGAGTGGAATAAAAAAGTTTTATTCTTGGCATGAGCATAAGATACAGCTCAAGATCGTATAAAATGTAACCTTTCTTTTAATTATATTTTAATACTAAATTGCTAATTTTCAAATTTGAGAAATTGCCATGACTAAATCTTATTTATTAAATGATGCTTATATAAAAAAACCTATTTCTCCTGAACACAACTAGGAATATTAAGCAGATGTATAGGATTAACCCAATGATAAGGCTGTGATTTTTCTACCATACACCTAACAAACCCTTAGTGACTTTATGTGACAATGTGTGATATAATTGTCTCACAATGAATTGGAATCTAAAAAGAAATATCAATTTAAAAATGAAATTTATTTCATTATCCAGGTGGTGATTGTTTGAACTTTTAGTTAATGTTAATTTGTCTCGTGTAGGTTCTCTTCCCAAAATTGTAATGTCTTATAACACTGTATGAAGTGTTAAAATCTTCACAGTTGAAGTTTATACTCTGTTTTCTGTCTTTTTCATAGTTCTTGACATTTTTCTTATGTAATAGAATGAGGAGTGGCAACACATGTTTGGAACTACAGACTCCAGAGGACTGTCACCTGCTAAACAAGATCCAAGCGACATAACTTTATCAACTTCAACCAAACATGATCAAGCTTCCAGTGGGAACACTGCACTACCTTGTGTTCCAATGCATCAGAACTTTGTTGATTCAGCACCACATGGAGCTTCATCTGCACAATGTGCTGGACGAATATCTCCTGCTCCACATGAAATAGCTTCATTAACATGTAAGCACATGAAGAATAGCTCCTGCTCCACATGAAATAGCTTCATTAACATGTAAGCACAAGAAGAATATCTCCTGCTCCACATGAAATAGCTTCATTAACATGTAAGCACATGAAGAATAGCTCCTGCTCCACATGAAATAGCTTCATTAACATGTAAGGACATGTTTAGGGCTTTAGGTTCGTCATGTATCATTCTAAACAGGGAAGGAAACAAATAGTTGATTATTTTGTGGTAAAAACTTAACATCCTTTTAATTGAAAAAAAGAATTGATTCAGAAAGTTTTAGTCACATCTCTTCACAACAAAGAGCTATTACCTTGCACCACTGCATGCAACAAATCTTTAACAAAGCTCCTTCCCCTACATATATTAACATGTATTGCACCAGCCTATTATGTGATCATCATTAGACTGTAGCCATTCACCAATAGGAGAGAAACACATCCTACATGCTCATTAATCCCCATGAGCATTATCATTTGAATGAAAGCTCATTCTTTCCTCAACACTGCTTTTTCAAATGTGTTTTTCTTAAGAATTAACATCATTTTTGCACTTATTATTCTACTTTTTCATTACCATTTATGATTTATTCTTTCTATCTTTAAATTTCGTAAGTGAAAGAAAGATACTACACTTTAAACATTTCAGTTAGAACTTTTCATTCAAATTATCTTCAATTTGATTTTTGCTTTTAATCATATTTGTAATTTTAGAACATATCTGTAAGGTGTTTTTGACAGTATTAGTTCCCATTGTTTTTACCCTTTACCTCTTTATACGGGCTCGGTCAAATTGACTGATCATGTGACCACTTTGTAGTTGTTTAAAATTGTTATAGAAGACCACAACAGAAAGTAAAGATAAGAAAAACACTACCACTACTACCATTCACCTTCCCAACCTGCAAAATATCAATGAAAAACTCAAACTCATAGATCTGGTGGAAATCTTACAAGACATTAAGATCCATTCTGGTGAAAAACTAACATAAACCTACCAAGGAGAAACACAAAAATGTCGTTTATGGAATTCTGTGTTTCTGCAACGAAACATACATTGTAGAAAAAAGGAAGAAGACTTGCTACAAGAATAAAAGAACATAAAGACATTCTGAGGTTCTGACACTCCTCATCAAGAGTCACCCAGTATTATAGTGTCGACTAGAGGCACTCTGACGATCAGTGGTTTTTTACCACCATTGTGCACTAGGTGGTTGGTTCCATTCTGATCTCAGATCCAGGATGTTTGACCTTTTGCTTTTGTTACCTTACCTGGACCTTACCCATCTTTCAATTAGTTTCACCATTGTTGTTTCAGATAATACCACAGTCATCCTTCACTGTTTTGATTACACAGGTTATGTATCTTTTATTTTTCTCCAGTAGTTTTGCCGAACCTTATTGTAGGAGCCTCCATTAATTGGGTATTTTCTTTGAGCTTATAGATCTCCTCTTTTTCCTTCCTTTTTTTTCATTCTCTCCCACTCTTTACGAACCTGTCTTTGTCTCTTCTTATTAGACTTCTTTGCTATCTGTCTATGCCTTAGCTTCTTTTCTTCATTTTCAATCACAAAACTATCAGCTTTACTGAGGAATCTGACACATACCTTTTCTTCTTTGCTCTCGATATATTCTTCCATTGTGGCCCAGTTTACTTGGTCTCTTTGTTTCTGTTTTGATGGGATGCCTTAGTTTTAGGTGTTTGCCTCTTTTAGTTTTATCTCGGGGACCTTTGTATGGCACCCTTCCTTGAGATGAAGTCTTTGTAACTGGCCTTACACTTTGAAAATTTGAGCTAAGGCTGCTCATCAGCAATCTTATTTGATTTCTTTGGTTTCCTGATGTTTTGGCCCAGAAGTCCCAACAGGTTTCCTGCCCTTGTGAGGCTTATCAAGTTACTCCCTTTTCTATTTTTTCTCCTCCTTTTGCTTCTTTTTGATGTCCCCCTCTTGTTGGGCTGACCATCAAGGATCGTGGAGTTGACTTGCTTTAAGAGCTGCCTCTCATCTCCAGTCTAGTGGGAGCTGGTCTCTATTTGCTTGCCTGTGGACTCCCTTTACAGACTATCTTTGGGTCATACAGTGCTTTCCCCTCATGCACCTTTGGCACCTGGTAGAGGCTGTTTTTTTTTATTGGTTATAAATACTGTGAAACAGGTCCTCAAACCCTTTTGGTGTTTTGACACTTATGTTTTTTTTGTTGTTCCCAAGGGGATAGAGATTAGCACTCTGTCATAGCTTTCTCCTCCTTGAAACAACTTTCAATCATCCCCTTTGGTTTTCTCAATCTAAGGTGAGTGTCCTTTCCATGGCTGTAGATGACCAAAGTCTAAGTTTTTGATGCTTTTATTCTTATCCTGATTTTTCTGTCCACTTGTTTCTTTCTCCAGTTCTTCCAATATGATTGGATTTTTCATTTCTGGGACTTTTCTTTCAAGTTAGCTAGAGGTCTATACATTTTCAATTAGGTTAGAAGTGCATTTGCACAGAAAATACATTTGTTGGATCTCCATTTCCACTACTATATGGATGACTGGCTTCATCCAAAAAAAGCATCCATAGCTGCGACCTCCTTTCTACTTCGGCAGATGTCTTATTTGGGTTGACTGATCAATTTCTCCAAGTCTGTCTTGACCTTTACTGAGTTTCTGATTTACTTGGGAGTTTTTCAACTTGTTTGCAGGGCAGGCTCAGCTGTCTACTTTATGTCTTCAAATTCTCCAAGACCCTTGTTTCTCTCAGATGTGCCCATTTGCATCCACTTTAGTGGAACCTGGCAAATCAGTGGAACATATTCAGTGATTTTCATTGGTCTCTTATATCTCTCTCCCTCCATCTCTTTCTGTCATGATGGCTCAACACTGGGTGTCCCTTTTCTCTCACCTCGTCAGGACCCGTATCTGTTCACAGATATCTCTGGTTCTAGGTGGAGGCAGATATGGACACCTACACCACCATTTCTGGAGCATAGTCTCTAGAGGGTGATCATTTCATATCAGTTTCCCTGAACTGTTGGCTTCTCATTGAGTTTGTCATCATCTTTGGTCTCCTATGTCTGGTCATCAAATGATGATCCCTTTGGACAATTTCCACTGTTGTATCTCACGTCAACCAACAGGGAAACACTTGATCTTGGGAACTATACTTTCTGGCTCTGGATTTTCTTTTTTGAACCCACAGCCACCACATTTGGTTGTTGATTTGTCATGTCCTTGGAGCTTTTGAACCTATTGACAGATCAACTATCTCACTTGGACAGAACGTAGTGTTTCAGTGAATTTTTTGCCACTTTGGGAATCTTCTCATTGATTCCTTTACAACTCTCTTAGCCCATCAAAAACATCTACTTCATTATAAGTAGGTTATTTATCTCTCATAAAATTTATTTCCAAAAATAAAACTTGTGGATGAAATTGTTTGAAACTTGACAAGAACTTTCCTAAAAAGTACGTAGTTTCAAAAAAATATTTTATTTTTATTTCTACTACTATTTCTACAAAAAATTCGTTATTTAACATAGTTACTTGCATTCAGTCTTTTTATCATAGCTTTCACATTTCATTTGTATAATCTCTAGAATTTGCTAAATGAATATCAAAAGTTTTTTAAGGTAAAAGTTTATATTTTATTTTCAATTTTCTCTAGAATGTCGCTAACTGTAACTATTATCATCAATGTACAGTGCAATGAAATGTTTAAAATTAAGAAATGGAAATATGTACTTACCTTTTTAACTCTTTGTTATATAATTTTAAAATATCTTCTTTGGGTAATATGCATAATTTCACATCTTTCCATTTTGACCTTAGTTTATTTTTAATATTTTATTTTCCTTTCTTATACTTTATCATTGATTATTTATGTTGACACACATCAGTAGATGCCCATCAGCAATATAACGGTATCATCGACAAAGATACTTTAGCTTCCAGCAAAATATTTTTGCACTTAATTAGTAATGTAAGCCTTGCAGAGCAAAACAAAGTTTTGTTTATCTTATAAAAAAAATATTAAACCTTTCAAATAAGAATTTTAAAACACAAATAATACATAATTAACTGAAGTATAAAAGTAAAACCTAAATGCAATTTAACTGTTTTTCAAACTAATACGTATAAGGCAAAAACAAAATAAATATGTGCTAGGGAACAACATTCACCAACAATGTATTTAGTGTTTTGAATTGTTGTAAATGCACAATCCACAACAGTTTCAAAGTAGCCTTGAGAAAATTGTACCATAAAAACAGCTCTTTCTATTGGTTATAAGCATGCAAATCGAATCTTTTGCTAAGCAACATCCCTTTCCAATTTTGAAACTGGTGCAGTTTCTAACCAATTGATGCCATACTAGACTATCATTCTCTAGCATTTGACATATTCCACAGTCTTTTTAATTTCTGATGCTATGTTTTCAAAAAAGATCTCATCTTTGTAATGTCTTCACCTGCTGCTATACCATCTTAATTTGAGGTTCTGCAGAAAAGTAAGTAAACATTTCTGAAGTTAACATTTTTCTTGCCTGAAATGTATTTTAAATACTTACTCACATCTATGAACGACCTCCCACCCATCTTCCATGCTTCTGGTGTATTTATTTGGCCTTATCAAGGCTTGGTCTATATTTCGATGTTAATATTTCTGGGGATTACTATGCATAGAAGATATGTAGCCCCACTACTTGTGGGGGGGCTATATTCTACTGACGATCACATCATAGGCTGGCTCAATACACATAGGGGAACTTCATTTAAAGCTTGAGGCATGTGCAAAAATCTTCACAGCAGTGACATGAAATTTTAGCTTTTTGTTGTGCATATAGGTGAGTACCTGAAATGTATATTCAGCTAAGGAAAATATTAATTTTCATTGCATTGCTAATTATTACAACAAGTTTTGTGAAATTAAGTGGGTTTATAATTCTCAGCAATTTTTGTGAGGGAAGTGTGATGAGAAAATGTTGAAACTTTAGCTTATCCATCATTAAAGTATATCTTGTAAATATGAACTCATTATCTATTATTAAATGAATAATATTTTTGTTTCTGTTTTTCTTAATATGTTGGGTAGGGTTTTTCAATAATGTTCTAATTTAGCAACACTCACATGGTGAAAATTGTTTTTATTTCAGTTAAGACTAATTTATACTAAGAAAGAGTAATAGTACAAAGACACCTTTCAAAACTTCTACAATGTAATAATGTTTCTAAATTCACTAGCACTTGTGTAGTTTTATTTTTCGTTATACCTGCTTTTTGAAAGTTAACAAACAGGCCAGAATATGATGAACTTGTCTATATATATCTTGTTATTTTGTTGTAACCATGAAATAAGCATCTTGTATACATATATCTTGTGATGTTATTTGTGTGTAAATCTCCAGATCAGTGTGTACCCTGTAAGCAGGAATTGAATTTACTAATCAAGAAAAAACAAGATGAAAGTGCAAGAGAGCATCTGATCATAGAAGCTAGTGAAAATATGGGAAAAGAGGATGTTTCTCCTCCACATAAGTGGCATCCTCAAGGAACATTAGTGGCTCATTTACATGAACACAGAGGAGCAGTAAATAGGTAAGCATCTTACAAACCATGTTGTAACTTAAAGAATAGCTGCCTTGTGGTTCAATGTTAATTCGAATGGCTTAAAATGGTAAAAAACAGGTTTTGATACCTGTGGTGGGTATAACACAGGTAGCCTATTGTGTAGCACAATAGACAAATTCCAAGAAATATTTTTCAGCACTCAAAATTGCTCTATGGCTTACAGGAACTGTGCAATTAGCTTTCAGTGTTCTTGGTTTCTGAGAGCAAAAAATTACCTTTATATTTAATACTGAATCATGACTACTGCGTTAGTCTTGAACATGCCTTTTGTGTACTGCTTCAGGATCCTCAGGCAGATGTTGGATAATATCAGTGTGGTGTAATATTATTCTTGGGATACAACAGGAAAGCCACAAATCAGGATGTTTCAGAGACTTTATGTGCAGAATTTCAAATAACTCTAATAAGAGTAAACACATATTTTTCATAGAAACAAAAATAACATCTATTTTACACAAATGTCACATGAAAAGTATTTATATAAGTAAAGACAAAAACACTTTTATTCATTTTAAGTTCATTATTCTATGATAACAGTAAAGCACGAAACAAGTTTCACTAACACCTTATGAATTCTGACCAAGGACTAGCTTTGCCTAGCAGTATATTACAGTCTAAGCTCTACCAAGATTTGCCAGAATGTTTTGCCCAATAAAAAAAAACACAAAACTAGTGTTTTACCTCTTCATTGAGCCAGACAATCTGTTAAAACTGGCTCAACAAATTAGTGGAATTTAGAGGAGTTCAATATTGGACACACCCTATTATCTAAACCTTGCATCTAAGTTCAGAATATGCACTGAAGTTAGAATAAATTCTCAACTAAAACATACGTTCATATGTCATAGAAGGGTCTAGTTTTTGATGACATTCCTATATTACAATACATTGCATGAGCACCAAACCTGCCTCCAACCAAGTGCAGTTCAGTTGAATATAGATCTCATATAATTCAGGAAGAATAGTGCACACCAGGGAGTTTTATGAAGAGAAACGGTCAGTATCCATGAAAATTCTTTACTTCCTCAACATTTTATCTTACAGCCTTATCGAGACACTGAACACAAACCCAGTCTTAGTAGGACAAAACAAGTGATGTGATTTAAAATAACAGTGCATTCTTATGTATAGTATCACATGAAATCATGCTATAAGCATGAAAAGGTAACAATAATAGATGTATGACAAGAATATAATCGTGGTAAAGAAACTTTTCACTTAAAATACAAAACAAAAGATGACTCGTGTGAATATTCAAGCCTAAGAAATATGTACATGTAAACAGTAAATGTAGTTAAAACCACACATATAAAGCAAAGCATTTCTTCTATGAATGCCAGAAATATTTTTTACAGCACATAGTTGTAATTCTAGCAGATAGTGGAAGCAAATAATGGAAAATGTTACATAAAAATGTACATTTCTACTAAAGAGGAAAGAGTAAATAAATATTAAATCATCATAATATGATAATTAGTTGTTTCAAAAAATATTTCCTTTGATGTTTTTCTTTTTTGTTAAATAGATAACTTATAATGTTTACTAAAAAAGATAATGGTGAATAGTATGTTCTAAACAAGAAGAGGCTAATGATAAATTACTAAACACTTGTACATGATAATGGTGAATAGTATGTTCTAAACAAGAAGAGGCTAATCAAATTACTCTTACCATTGTCAAAGGTGAATCAACACTCGGGTCCTTTTTTTTCCCACTTTTCCTGAAAATAAAGTCATGATTATTACAGATAAAAATAATATAATTTTATAATTCAAAATTAATCATTACTTAGTAATGATGCATGGATTATGACAATTTACCGGGCAATTCTAAATAAATTATGAGTGCTAGCAAAGGGAAATATGTAATAATATGGCGACCAAACTACACCTGCAATATCCAGTACCCACGAGGCATTTCACCCGGTATCAAAACTCATCGGGCCAGGTGGGATACAACAAACATAATGGTTATATTTATGTAATAATGGTAATATTTCAAAAAAAAATTCTGTCATCAAAATCATGTATGTTTAACCATGTTTCAGTTGTTCCCATTATATCAAAATCCTTGGTTCCTATCAGTGCTCTAAAGTCATCTATTTTATTTCTCATACTTCTAGCATTACAACAGTAACAATTAAGCCTATCCTTATAACTACTTCTTTACTCATTTTCTATGCTAAAACTTTTCTCTATATCTTTTTTTGCATTTAGTTTATCCTGGCCCTCAACAGTGTTTAGTCCTAGTTTAAAACTTCCTTTACAGCTGAGTTAATAGCAGTTGCAAACAAGCCAGTCCCTACTCTATTTAAATGTAAACCATCAATTCCAAAAAGCTCCCTTCTTCCATTGAACTGATCCCACAAGTCCAACCAGCCAATCTGCTCATCCTTACATATTAATCTAAGCCTAACATTTAGCCCTAGTGACCTACATATAATTCATCCCCACAATTAATTCTCAGTAGTATCCCTGACACAATTAACTTTCTCAATGTGGACACAGTCAAATTGACCAACAATGTGACCACTTTGTACTCATTTAAAGTCATTATAGCTTTGATACTGCGAACTTTTAATATAATATGAATATCTTCACAAAATTTGATAGAGTTCCAGTAAACATTATAAGTCTTCCACATACAAAAAACCAGATTTTTAGTGAAGTCTTTTTTTATACTAATCCAATTGCAAAGTGATTTTTAAGCCAAAAGACAGGTTCATGAAAATAACTGAGGAAAACTCTAATGTGGACTCAGTAGTTGCAACTTTAACATGATGAAAAGGTCTCTGTAAGGGCATCTATGATGATTCAAAGTTGCAATGTGAGTGTTAAACTTTCCACATACTGCAGCTGATTCTGAATGCAAAATAACCAAAACAAAACAGTGAAACCACCTAACAGACGATGAAGCAGGAAAATTTCTTAATATGCAATATAACTTACTGTCTCATCCAAATTGATGACCTGAGCAAAGGCAATAGAAAAACACAAAATTATGGATTGAGAATAAAGAGTGAAACATTGTAGCTTTGACAGGGAGCACTTGTGAAACATAAGCCAGCACAAATCAGGACGAAGAAATGTACTGAGGATAAAGAGTTACACTAGTAGAAATTCCTTTGTTGACCAGTGAACAGTAACCGCTAATGGTTTAAGCGTTCAGAAAAACTAAAAACTACATTAAAAAGTAAAGGGTTCTCTAAAATATATTACTTTGTTTATTATTATGCTGTGTAATTTAAGTAAAGCATAATTCCATATTAAAGAAAGTAACAACAGTAATTAATTAACATTGTAATTATATACTATTTGTAATATTTTTTGATGGTGACCAGTAAGATATCCAATAAGACAAATTCAAATTTGGAATCTAAAAAAAAAAAAAATACAAAACATTTTGTTCTTTAGTACTGGTGAAGAACAAGTAACACCAGATGTTACCAGTAATGCTGAAAACCTGGTAAGCACATGTAACAGAAGTACTGGTGAAGGGTGAATAAAGCACACATATTGATATTACTCTAAATTCATCACTACTTTGAAAGACACACGACATCAGTACAAGAGAAGGGCAGTAAAATTATGAATTTTAGAGAGGTTTGAAATAATATGTACATGGATGAATTTCAAGTTTATGATTTATATTTTTCAGTCTTATTTTTTAATCTACCACTTTTGCAGGATTGAACATAACAATCCGAAAACCAGTGTGTTAACAACACGTACTCTTGACACTGCAGAAGAAGGTTGTGCTGTAGACATGCATCATTTTGATACTGGTAAGTAATGATTTTGTAAAGCAATGTGTTTTACTATGTTATATATCTTTTACCAATATCCAATGTAATCTGTCTTCTCCAAAATATAATACTGGATTCTTGTGTCAACATCCTCAGGAGAATAATATAGAACTCATATTTATTTTCTCAGGAGCATCATATGTAACTCTCACGTGTATCTCCTCAGAAGTATAGAAGTATGTGTAAAATTCACATTTCTTTCTTTAAATAATGATAATAATGAATTCTCGTTTCTGTG